TGCCATGTCTGCTGTGGTGCAGTTTTGTAAAGATCGGGTGGTTCAGCAACTGAAAAAGGGAATTATAGCTAAGAACAACTTAAGGTAAAATGTCAAGTACTTTTCCTTTCTCATATCTCTTCCTTTTCAAGTTTCTTCGACTACATCTCCCCCTCGTGATAAATTACCCGTCTTTTTTATTCTGCACTCACAGCACTGTGAAAACCAGTGGTGTCGTTGGCAATGAATTTTCATGACAGCACTGTCATCCTGCATTGTGCCAAAACAATCCTCTTGACCCTGTCACAAAATTTAATCGCCTGTGATAAAATTCTCAATTTCTATACCTTCTTTTTTATTATGACTTTTCAAAACCCTGTTTTCCCTTTCATCAAGATTCCATCTTTGTCAATCTCTTCGTTGCATCATTCAAATTACTCTGCTCTCCTGTATATTGGAAAGGATGATTGATAGTCTCTGACCTTCACATCTTTTCTGTATTATGTCTTTGACTCCTTTATGAAATATGGTATACAGTATGTAGTCAAATTCTTAAAGATATAGGTATATTTCTACTAGACAGACCATGCCTTTTATTAAAGCAACAGAAATCTTCCATAGACACTGATGTGTGGAGAGCCACATGAGTCATTACTACAGCTTTACAGCTTTTCCTCACAGCTTACAGGTACGCTGAAACTCTACAGTTAAACTATGCCCTATTTTATATACGGTTTCAGTACATGAAAACTTTTAATCTGGTAATTACATGAATTAATGGTTGAAGTTATTGAAGATGCTAACATTTATATATATATATATATATATACACACATTTAAATATTTATTCAAACCTAAATATCTCAAATGTTTCTATTATGTTGTACTTTTGTACTTTCTGATCTGTACAAATCCACATCGGCGATCAGATAGACAGTCTGGAGATAATATAACAATATTAATGATAATCTGAATCAAAAACTAAAACAAATGAAACATTTTTGTGACAAAATGTTTGGTAATTGCAAGTGTGTAGCTGTGTCTGTAGCTTATGTGCTCTTGTACGACCAATCAATGATTTTAATTCGGGCTATTTTTTTAAGATGGTATACCAGCAAACCTAGACATAGACTTAAGTTCTCTTCTTGGTTAGCTTCACGCCTCTTGAAAGTGCAGCTTCCTCAATATAAAATGTTCTGTTTAGTTAGATTTTATGAATGAATAAAGTAAGAATTAGGGCTATGTTTCCAGATTCACAATTCCTTATTAGTTTTGCTCCTTTTCTCTTCACTAATGTATTTTAAAGTTGAATGTGGAATTTTTACTCCTCAACTACCACAGCGGATTTTGTAGATCCAGTGAAATAGGAAACCCTAACGCTGCTATTGTTTTCAGATGTCTTAAATCTTGGAGACGAGACATTTCATATAAATAATCATGATGCCGGTTATTATTGTCATTTTTAGTGAAATTTAAACAATAAACAGTCTAAATTGTGGTGTAAAGCTGCTGATGAGAAATAAAGCATACAATGTAATGGCAAACATAGGGGAAAAAAGGTTGCGTTGAAGGGATGGCAAAAGCAAATGGCAGCAGGCAGAGAGTCAGTTTTTAGAGCAGCAACCTGGGAGAGACACTCAGGGCTGGAAGGTGGTGGAAACTGTAATAACTTCATGCATGTTTAAGCAGAGAAGTAACATGAGTCAAATGCCCAAAGGACGAGGGCACCAGCTCCAGGCCAGAGATCACACTACGTGCAGCTCTTTTTCCAGGCTGGGATGTTGAAGCAGTGTGTTACTGAACAGGCACAACACAAAGACAGACACACACATACATGCCCATTCTACTTGGCTAAAGGATAATTTGATTTGTATCACACTGTATCACATCTGTGGATTTTTCGGTCCCCCATTTTGTCTTTGATACCTCCAATTTCATAGTATTCATTTCACCCAGAGGATAAATCACAAATACTTTGGTTGTAGCCAGACTTTTTATTTCTCCAAAGTTTAGTCTTGTCTGGCTTTGTATGACATACTTTGCCAAACATTAGGATGTGTTACAAATTTGTTCCTGATATTCCATTGTAGGTCAGATTTGTGCAGCTCATCGAGCGCCATCCTCATTTCATTCCTTACTCAGATTTGTTCATCAGAAACAGACCGCTTTGGCAGCACACATATGTGGACATGGTTAAAAAATATATATATTTGGCATTTTGTAATTGCAATAAAAAATTGTATGGTTGACTATTTAACACTAAAGTCAGGTTGGTTGGGGTATTCCACGAAATGCTGTTAGAAGATTACATGCCCCACAGCCACCTCTAGTGTTTACAACGTGCAAAAAGAGCAATTGTATTCCTTGAGATTGTGTTCATTATTTTATGAAGGAGCATAAAAAAGAAATACAAATCAGTATAGTATAAATCATAATAATCCCCTTTTTACTATATACAGTATATATACACATACTTTGCACACAGTCTGGAAGCATCATCCATGGTTGCTCTGTGAACCATTCAGATTCCTAGTTCTTGCCAGAAGAGGCTCAGTTCCACTGGAAGCCCCACAGTGAAACACAAAGTCAGCCAAGAGAAGAAAAGTGGGTGGGACGTAAACAAGGGGAAAAAATGGAGGGAAGCTGAAATGGACACAGTGCAATGGTGTTTCTGATATCTTCATCTCATTTATCACATGATAATTTTATCTAATCACATATTTAGGAGGAGATTTTACTCTTTGCAGCCAGTATGCTGTGGATCGTCAACAGCTTGAACTTCCAACTCTGAGGACATTTACTTTTGCTCCCATAAGCAGCCATTTTCTATTTTCAGAACTTTTTTCTCTCTTCTCCCTTATTTCGCCACCATCAGCCCCATCTCTGGGCCCCACCTTAGCTCATCACACCATCCCAACACCAGGCCCGGATGCTGAGCGCAAGTCATGTAAATGAGAGAGTTAGCAGATGAAAAGGCAGAGAGAAGAATTTTTAATAGAAGAGGTGTTGATTAGTGTCAGAGAATGGGAGACAAGGCAAAGTGTAGGCAGCCTCTATTACAGCCCCAGAGCTATGAGCCATATGATCAAGTGTGAAGAGTAGTTTGCATGTGACTGTGTGGAAATTTGACATAAAAAATGGATGCCTTAATTCATGCTCACTCATGTTGGTGTGTCTATGAGTGTCTTGGCGTCAAGTGTGTGTGTCTTCCCCTCTGGGACATCGTCCTTAATGCATAATACATCGCTCCATATTTCCAACAGTAACAGCAATAATGTTGGTGCGTGAAGTTTATGAAGAGGGGATCAGGTGTAGGAGAAAGTGATTACAGTGGATAAACACAGCAACAGATATTGCTCTACTGCAAGGAGTAACTGGCACAGAGATGACGGTACGCAGAGATAGTCCAACGAACGACAGTAATCTACTGCCTCGACAGTGAACTGTGGTGTTTAGGAGTTTGCCCTAAATAACTGAATGGTAATCAAAAGTGGGTTGAGTGTGAGAAGTTGTTAAACTCCATAGTGTCCTGGTTATATGCACTTGTAAAACTGTATCAATGATGGATTATTAGTATAGGACAAACACCCTTCCCTAGTGTTATTTGGATTCTGACTTGACACAAAACAATGTCCTTAGCATTTCTAATTAGACCTCAAAGGCTTTTAATCATTCTTTCATTATTATTTTACAAACCGGACAGCTAAAAATGTTTTTGTTTTTTTTTTCAAAATTGAAGCCAAGAAAGATGTTATCTCGGTTTGTTTATTATTGAATCTGAATCAGAAAGCGACCCGCAGATAGGGTAGGAAAATAACTAAACACCAGTTCAAAGCTAGCATATCAGTGGCTCATCATTCAGCATCTTGGGGCTCACCGGCATACTTTTGCCTGTGTCAGAATTTTCATCTCCCTGCTCTCTCCCAGCTGTTTCCTCTTGTTCGTTTCTCCCCCACTCGCTCACACAGATGGCAGAAGGGTCGAAGCACTTTAATGAATTTTCAAAGCAGCTGCATTGGCAATATTAAAAGGGACTCCCAAACCTCAACACATATGACACCAGAGTCACACATGCAAGCGCACAGACAGGGGCACACACACTACTTCTAGATGCCATTCCTATTTCTAATACACACAAAGAGATGCAAGTGTGTACAGAACATTACACATGATAATCCTGTGCATACCTCACAATCCAATCACATTCACAAACAGAGGAAAAATACCACATCCCACACTGGACACACTTAATTAACTGCAATACAATGACAGGCACCCACAGCAAGGTCAGGGGTCAATTTTAATGATGAGCCTGCATATGGCAGCCACCGTGTTGCTTTGCAAGTAAAACGAGCTTCACTTCTGCTGATCCATCTGTCCCGTGGTAATGACTGCACCTGGTCGCGCATGGGCCAATGCACTCAGGTATGCCAGATCTTAGAACTGGCCCGTTGTTCTTAGAGAAACGCAATTAAAAAGCAATAAGCACACTTGCATGTTGCTGCTGAATTGTATACTAACTCTAATTATCCGATTGAGGGGGAGATTTTAAAAGACGTCTTTGTACAAGCAGTTTAGAAAGTTTGGTTGTTTCCTGACAATGATGTTATTATGGAGCTGAACGCATCTTAGTGTCATACATTTTCTTTCTTGAAGATGCCAATATGTAACATGGACATGAAAAGTTAAAATGAAAATAATTAATCAATTATTAAGGCTACTTTTTTTTGCTCCTCTCACTCTCAACTAAGAAGCACCACTACAAGCCAAACTTCTATAAGCCAGCCTTGATCTCCTCAGTCAACATACAGTACGAGTGCCTGTAGGGTTTCCACCAGACTTCACAAGTGGCTGATATGAAGAGTCCAGCCAGTGCTGTGAATCTTAAGGTATCAAGGCCATTGTCTCTCCTTCTTTTTATTACTTCCTTTCTTTCTATTCCCTCCTTCTGTCTACATCTCCTCAGGCAGAAGAGTCTTTATCCAACCTCTACGGAAAGTGAACTTAGGGTCAGAACTCACCACATAGTCCAGAGGCTCTTTGATATCCTTATCTTCCAATCGTTCATCAACGTATGCCAGACAGATTTCCTAAAACAGAAAAGATAAGACATTTGATAAAGTCTTTGAATGAGTTGGCACTATTTTTGTAATTAATTATATTGCATTGAACTTAATTATGTAGTTTTATTTTATGTAAGTATAATAATTGGGGAAAAGCACTGTACAAAAATGTAATGACCAAGACTGAATGAGATTTAAATCCAGTATTGTTTGGGTATGAGGTATTTCCATTTCTGTCATCAACTTATTAGACTCAAGTTTAGTTTACAGGGAAAAAAGGAATTACAGATCTGAGGATATAGCTAAATAGAGCAATGGCAGGCTGCTTGTGTTTTCAAACAGGAGACAGCTGTGACAAGAACACAACATCTGCTGCAGAGGAAAACATAAGCATACCTTGTTCCTTTACTGTCATGCCTGAGCGGCCTTGAGACCGGCCAACACTCAGTTTGACAACCCCCTGATGTAGTTTGGTGTTTCTGTAAGTGCTCTTATCACACTGTCAATCACAAAGTACTTATTCACACATCAAGTTGAAAAGAGATTAAAAGCAAGTGAGCAAATATTTTCTCTCCTTTCCTCTCTCTGAAAGAACAGCCACAGTTTTGGAGCCAATCTGGCTTCTCGTCTGACTTGTGTAAACTTCTAGATGCTTATGTACTATGTGAGAGCCCAGGCCATCTGTAGTCTCCACCAGCTCCTCTATAATTCTTTTTTGTTATATATAAAAAAAATAATATCAGCTCAGATGGAGGGGAACACACCCCCTCAGTATGAATGATGACGTGGTGGCACTTTTTTCTCCTCTCCAAACGACTGTTTCACACTTTCCTGCTTTTCTCTCTGCACAGAGGCCGCTTTGCTGCTCACTGGACTCTGGCTAAGCAGAGCCCATTTTGTCCGATTATGTGGCACTGTAAAAAACAGCTGCTACTATTCCATGTTGGTGAATAGGTTAAATGGTGACAAAAGGTGTTGTGCCTTTTTTGTCATCTCTAAGTTGAGCAACAACAGGCACGGGAGGTTATAACGGTTCCTTCTCGGCATCTTTCCAACTCCACTGCTTTTGATTTCCTATTAGTGGCCAGTCAGTGCTGTAGCAGTGGACACAAAAATGTCTCTTCTAGCCTCACAGTTTTTATTATGTGCCAACATCGAAAGGCAGCCACTTGGAAAATGGCTGATTCACTTAAAAACTGAAGTTAATCAGCAATGTAAAACTGGACGCTAAGAGAATAACTGAAGTAGAGTAAAGAGTAAAAATATCAGATTCTAGCTCTAGTTACAGAACAATAGTGCTTCTGGAAATGATTTTCAACTCTGATTTTTTTTTGTTTTTGGCCAGAAATTCACATTTTACACACCTCCTTTTAATGTAAATAAAAGGGCTACAACAGCAGTTATCAGCAGTTGCCATCTGTCAGCAGCCAACAAACAGGTCTTCATAATGTTTTAAAAATGTGCCACTGCAGCAATGTAGAAATGATTGTTTGGTGATGAATAAGGTTAGCTTTGTCAAAAACAATCTCCCTCATGGAAACTGATGTCCTTGTCTGAAAGCTGCAACATATCACAGGATGTGCATGCAGCTGTGTAGCACCAAAATCCCACTAAGGGCAGATAATGACATATTTAATATTTTTAACCCAATATATTAATATGATTTAACCACATTTCTATTGACCAATTGAATGTTTGTTCTATGGCAAATGCATTTTGTGTATGTAATGTTCATATCAAATGTGCAAATGTGATATAATTCATCAGGGCATACAGTAAAACATCTTGAGACAAACAGACAGACGGGTGTCATTCCATAATTGTCATAACCTCACTCTCACACCCTAAGACTGCCCCCTAACAAAAATTCTCAAATCCTTTAGGTCAACAAAAAAACAAGTCAAAATGTGTAGCAGACATTCTAGCCTTTATTCTCATTGTTAAAGTTTCATTTTTGTGTTGTGCCTTCTACAAAGCATAACTAAGACCATGGAAGCAGCTTATCTACTTAAAACAGCAGAGGGTGAGAAAGGGGGAGGGGGAGTTTCTGACTTCCATCTTTTTCCTGGTTCACAGAGTTGGTTTACTGAAGTCACCAGAGCTTTGGTTATTCCCTGTAGGTTCTTCCTCCTCCTCCACCGTCCCTGCAAGTCTAATCCACTTAGGCCCATGCTACCTTCACTGCTTTTGACTGTCTAGGTCACTTGAATGGACACAGTAAAACATAAAATCAATAATATTTACTGCACTGTTGAAAAAAATATTTTTTTAAAATATGAAAAACGCAGGAAAAATAATAGAAAATGGTTTTGCAGTGAGGTTGTTTTATTTATGTTTCTGTTTTGGCTTGAACTCAGGACTGTCAAGGTTGAATTCTAAATAAGATCGTTTAATTTAATTTCACTCCCTCACTTATCTCTGGTGGCTGTCTGCTGTTTGCACTTCATGCCAGACTGTTTATGCTTTTGCCACATCCCACTCAACCACTTGTATTGTCATCGTTGTCTTTAAACACGATCCCTTAAGGTGTGCTGCTCTCTCAGACTCTCTCTACCAAACAACACCGATGCTAATGTCATTGAAAACCCAGCTACTTGTAGTGGCTCTTGAAGTCTGACATCAGTCCCAGCCATCCTTCTCCCGTGGGTCCAATTTTCCCAGGCATGGAGTTTCAAGGTCCTCAGCTGAGGTCTCTGTTTAGCTACGATAGCCATGAGTGTGAATGCATGTCAGACAGAATAGTAATGAGGAAGACAGGAATTGAACCCTAGTGCCACCCTCCCCTTCCCAGTCTTCCTTGAAAATAGATTTGTTCTCATGCTGGAAACGGATATTGCAATCACACCCTCCCATCGTTGATCCCCTGGGGAGCTTGTTGCACGCACACCAAAAATGTAAATGAATGCAGTGGGATAGACATCAAGTGTGATAAATCATATTACAAAAGAAATACTGCTTAGCAACACAACCACTGCGTTGTAAGCTGCATTGTAAGCACGGGAAACTCAAAATTAGTCCTGAGTCTATTTCCCCTCACACTAAACCCTGATATTGTCAGCTTCCTCAATTTCCAAGTTTTATTGCACATTTACAGGAAAGCAAAACTGCTAGTTTAGAAGAGTACATTCGTAGGGGGACCACTTTCATAGCATGGTGTAATGGAATCCCAGTCTATATTTCTGGGGCTGCCAAAGAGTTAGTGCAGGGAAGTGGATGGAGGCACAGAGAACTCCAGGCCGTTTCATAAACCTTTCTATAAATCTTTGGAGATGTGAATGTCAAGAAATAGTGACACGGTGAAGATTTTTTGGCAGTGGTTCAGTGTTTGTGCTGGGGACACCCTAATGTCTTTGTGGGGAGAGAGGGACTGGCATTTTATTATGCTGTTGGAACATTGGACGTTGCCTGTCAAACTAACAAGCTTAGGGAAATGTAGCAAAGTTCCAGGCACACAGGGTGAGGTGTATCTTAGGGGTTACTAAATTACCTGGGAAATACATAAGGGGAAAGAAAACACTGTGGTTTACAGTATGTTAGTTAGAGAAGTGGATCCTGTAGTAATGTTACACTTGAGCAATGCAGGTGAAGACATGTCTCTAACAGATTTGGGTTTTGCTTGTATCATCTTTTCATCCATCCTCACCTTTTTTTTCCCAAAGCATGGACAAATATTAATGCAAGTTGTGCAAACTCCGAGTCCTCAGGGGGCACTATCTCAGACTTTCATGTCTGTCGATTAATAAATGATGTCCTCCTCTTGACAGGGACTATTCTTAAACCCCAGTCTGTGCAATACTGGGACACCATCATTTTTCAGGAGAGCAGTGACAGCCTGGGCTTGCATTGAAGTTTGGCTTCCTGTACATTGTAATTTTGCTGACATTTTGCTTCTCTCTTTCTTTTCCTTCAACTTCCCTCCTCCTCTCTCCCCCTCTCCCTCCCTATGATCTGTTCACAGATGTGACAAACTAGTCCACACTAGGTAAGACCCATTTTATTTTTCCTCATTGCACTGTTGTCAGGAGTGATAGTTGGGAAGTCTGAGATGTCAGTCCAGAAACTGGGTAGGATTTAGTTCAGCACCTGGATGCTGCTGTTTGCCCAGTAATGTCTTCAATGGTATGCAGTTACCCCTCGCTTTTTTCCATATGTGCACATAAAACACAACTTTTAGTGAGCTAAATGTGCAGTGTTTTTTTGCACTTTGTCCTTTAAGTGGCAAATGTAGCTTCTTACTTTATGTTCACTTGTAATGTAAAAATAGTTACCAGCACAGCACATTAATTTGATGAAAATATTAAAATCTTAAAAACTGCACAACTGCAAACAAACAAACTGCAAGGCATTTCTAAGAAATGTCCCTCCTAATCCCAATTTTTATTTCTTTCTTTTAAAAAATATTTGAGGTTATTCTAGAAATTAAAGGGAAATGGAAAATATATAGAATCATTGCACAATGAACAATAAAATACATTTGGATGGAATTCAATTCTTCTTATTTAAGTTTTATTTGCAACAGAAATAATTATGGTATGTACAACTATCCGAGTATGGCTATGAAAATTCATGTGATTAACCACAATTGGATATTTGAATAAATTGACATCCCCAGTATAAGACATATATAAAAGATAAAATACTAGCTGTGCATTGATACAACTGGACTTAAGGTAATAACAAATTAGGTTCTCTGTGTATTTACTGCTATGAGGTACCACTTTCTCATATTTAAACAACTATCCTCCATGACTCAATGTCACTTGGGGGAAAGGACTAAATTAGAACTTTTCAGCAGTACAATGGCAGGGAGCCTCTGACCACGGAGCAAGCTACAGTACTGTAGTGTTTCACTTCAAGAGGAAGTCATTTTTGGACCATCACCACCTCACTGAGTAATTGAATACCCAGCGCCATGCCACCTTAGCACAGTTCGGCTATCTGGCACTGCATATGCAAGCGGTTCGGGTCTGGCTCTAAACTCTTTGAGGCAGGCACTGGCTGTCTGCTAGAAAACAGAAAACCCCTGGCTAGCTGAGAATAATAAGTACCCATGGGAAGCCGCCAGATGGACATTTACTGTGAGCCTAGCTGGAGAGGGAGAAATCTGTCAAACATCACACCAGGCAACTGTGGGCGAGCAGTGCAGGTTCACGTCCACCATGTCGGATAAGATGAGTGCTTTTTGGTGAGAATAAAAGCTGTTAACAAATCACATTTCATCTAACTCTTTTACTTCTTTCAAGGTCAATGACAATATTTCAAAGCAACGTGAGATGGTGTGAACTCTACGAGCCTATACCTGATAACATTGTCTGTCCTAGAAACCACATGGTATAAACCACATTTTGCTGTCTACAACTTTTTGCAGATCAAGGCACAACATCTGGTCATATTAGCCAAGAGAGTGCAACAGGGAAAAGAGCTTCTTGGCTAGAAAAGTTTAGAAAGTTAGAAAACTTTTGCTAATACAAATATTCAGTGCTGCTAAGTGATTACGTCCAGGTCAGAATAAAGTCACAGAACATTATTGCTAAAAGTGACCAATGTTCCTGCGCTTTTAAATAAGCTACTAGGGAAAAGTCAAATTTATACAAGTATTTAATTATATTCTCCAGGCTGTTGTCTGCTATTAATTCACTCTAAACTCTGTTTCCTTCTGGATTCAACTGTGCTCCTGAGTTGAGGGAGATTACATTTTGAAGATATGTGTTTTGTTGTTGTATTTCCTGAAATGGTTTCATGCTGTGGTTTCTATTAACTTCACCGATTAATAACCAAGAGAATGTTCTTGCGTCACAATCGTGAAGTTCAATCTTTGAACTTGGTGGAAGAACACTTGCTATACAGTATGCACATACGCGCATACATTTTTGTACATTTTTCAGGAATTACAATTAGGTCGTTATGCTCACAGCTTAAAAGCATCAGAGCTGGCGAAGTCATTGACAATGAGGGAAATAAATAGCACAAGGAATTTATCCTAGCATTGTCAAACTTGAAAAAGGACCTTGGTTCCTTTAGACAAGCTGTGCACCAGTTATTCTTGCGTTACGTCTGGCAGCCTTCACCTCCAGTAGGAGCTGAGAAGCACTTGATTAGCAATAGATACTGGCAGAGGAAAGAATGATTGCTGGCTGCTCTGTTAAGCAAATATCATTATGCTGCTGAAGTCTAAAAGTAGACATGTGCTTGGTGGGAACTATAAAAGGGCCGGGCCGTCAGTACTCAGAGCACTGGTCTCTTTTGTAATACACAAAAGTGATTTTTTAAGTAGGTTCTGTTTATCATCCTTCAAGGCATGATGGAACAATGCTATTCACACTCCATCAGGCTTTCTTAAAATTGTGTTACATACTATATAAAATCTCAACAGACCACACATATTGTCCTACCCACATCATGAACCATATACCTTGAGGTCCTGCTACGTCGTTATTCCTTGCAGGATTTTAAATTTGATGCATGCTAGGGTTTTCTTTCTCCATGACAAAGACCAACTAGAGCTGCTGGTATTCATTTTCCAGCAGCATTACTGATAGCTTGTTATCTTGTCTTTGCAAACATTCAAAGAATTATTAAGCCTGAGTGACAGTTTAACCAAGCCTTCCAAAGTGGTCTATTAGAAACGTGTACACAGTGCATTATATTAGCAGAGCTTGTCAGTTTTCCTGTGTATTGTTTAGTGTGCAATTGTCAGTATTTCCACAAAAATTGCTCAACATGGCAGGTGATTACAAATGTGACAATGCAAACTATGAAGAAATGCATACGATGATGATGAGTGGCTCTGAGCCCATATAATAAAAAAATGGTAGCTAACAACATACAATAGGTAACTGCACTTCAGGTAGGCTGCATTGCACTTTGTCCCACATTAATATGAGAATCAAAAATAGTCTATCAATTATCAATGAAATTACTGAGTAACATGGCGCTGTATATGAAAACCTTGCTGTCTAGTATTGAGCTGAGAAAACCATGTAAAACCAAATTATAGATTATAGTGTCCAAATTGTTTTACTGATAGAGTTCGCATCTTGAGATTACACAATTAAGAAAATCCTTGTTCATAAAAGCTCTTGAAAACCTGTCTGGTTGCTACAATTTTTGCTGTTTTGCTAAAACTTATAATAAACACAATTTAATTCAGTCTGCTTTCAGCACCCAGCTTTACTTTGGCTTTTATCCTCCATAATTTAGCTCTGATAAACCACAGCATGAATCCCTCCCAATCCCCTCTAGCTATCCCATTGTTATTGTGATTCCCACACTGATGCCCCTTTAATAGGCATTGGTAATTAGCCTTCTTTTAAAAAAAATATTATGTTTCAATGTGTCTTCAGACTTGAATATTAAGTGAACTAAAGCAGACACTAGAACACAATAGAACATGGTTATTAAGGTTAAAGTAATGGCAAAACTGGGGTAAAAACAATAAAAAATATATTATGTTGTTTCAAATTTAAGGATAGTTAACAGAAATCATGCAGCTAATGTAGATATGATTATTTTTTCCACTTCACAAACCACAGAAAGATCAACTACTCATTTACTGCTGCTTCTGGGGCTCATTAATGTAAGCTAAGTAAAACAAGGTTTATATTTTTGGTATGACAACCAAGAACTTGGATAGAATTGCGATATCAGCCTATGTCACATGGTCCCCTTGGAAGCGGCATCTGCTCCAAGTTTACTAAAGCATTTCGGTTCCATTTGGCAGAATATGTGAAAATGATGAAGGCCTCTGGATAGAGCACTTGGCCTTGATTTTCTAAAGGTTGAAAGTTAAAGTTGACTGGGTAGCCAATCCATCTGCTGGTCTGGCACTACTCTATAGAGTACAAAGTGAATGGAGAATGACTTGCAGGTGTAAATAATTATAAACTTTTTTTTCATAATCCTGTAGTTCTACTATAAACTTATGCACCTCTAAAACATCATGTCACTGCCAATGATTTAAAAAGTTGGTGAAAACACAGCAGAGTTTTGAAACTGAAATGCTGAAAATTACTCCATCTTTGATAAATATTTTCATCCGTTTGTGAAATTGAGAAAGAACATTTGTCATTCATCAACAGTCCATTGTAAATTCTGAACACACCGATACGGTACGGCACAACAATGCTGCGTTCCACCATGGGGTTAAGCGTGTGTAGTAGCCCCCTCTGCAGGAAGGTGCATTAACAACTTGAGATTAGTGGAGTTGGTCATGGGCTTTGGGTTTTGAACTTTTACTCCCATGCTTGAACTGATGTTTGTTCAGACAGTTCCATCAGCTGCTGCTGACACTGCTGATCCTGACCACCACTATCTCATAACATAAATGCAGTTTTTATATATTTTTTTATACAAAATGGGACAGAAAAATTGAGAGAGGTACAAAATGTTTTTGAACATTTAGAGTTGCAGTCCCTATTGACATCTAGCTGTGGGCTACGTCTGGAGATTATTGCCTTATGTTGATCATATCTGTTATATACAGTATAAGTGGTTACATCCTGTTACAACAGTTAACAATGATTTTTGTTTATTTCAGATGTAGACTTAGATATGGCCGCAGCATGTTACTATATAAAATTGTATCTTTTAAAATTATTTAACAACATCGCAATAGGGGAAGCAAAACATATACGTGTAGAGACCTGCAATGTATTTAGCCAGTGTAGCTCTGTGAACAGTGTGTCTCTCTAGGCAGCACCTTTGGCATTTTCTTGACCAACACCAAACAGAGACTTGTGTTAATTGTGTCCCTCTTGACCTCATCACACTGAGGCTCCAGCATTGTAAATACAACAGAGCATATGTCCTGAGCTGCACCTCATTAAGGATCAAGGCCTGAAGCCAGGTTTGTTCTTTTCCTACCATGTCCACTGACAATCCTACAGCTAGAAAAGTGACATTGTTGTATGTTTCCGTGTATGCTTTGGGCCTTTAGTCACCACAGGCCGTGCTAAAGGGTTGTCCTATGGGGAAGCACAAAAC